ATTATTATTATTATTATTATTATTATTATTATTATTATTATTATTATTATTATTATTATTATTATTATTATTATTATTATTATTATTATTATTATTATTATTATTATTATTATTATTATTATTATTATTATTATTATTATTATTATTATTATTATTATTATTATTATTATTATTATTATTATTATTATTATTATTATATATTAACTAGGTTAAATAACTTATTTAATACCTCTATAATAATAAGTTAAGGAAAACTAAAGTACCTACAGAAAAACCTTAGCTTCTAATCTAAATATAATATAATTTATAGCTTATATATATATAAGTCTAGTTAAAGGACTTTTCCTTATATTAGCTTAGTTACCTAGGTATAGAAGTTATAATAGCTTGTTTTTAATATAAATTATCTTATATTTTTAATATAATAGCCCTAAATTAGATATAAATCCCTAGTAGTTAATACCTAGCTATAATAAGAATTTTAATTATAAAAGGTAAAGTAAAGGTTATAAAAGCTAAAAAAAACCTATAAAAGTTATATATAATATAAAATATATAAGTCTAGCTTAGGCTTAGGTATTTAAATTTACTTTATATTTTTATTTATAATATTTAATTATAATAAGTAAAATATATATACTTATTTTTTAATTATAATAGGTACTTTATTTACTAGTTTATATTAATATAAAGTTATTATAAGCCTATTAAATAGTTTATATTCTTCTAATTCTTTATAATTTATATTATTTAACTTAATAGTTATTATATATTAGTATTAATATATATATATAAGTCTTAGTTAATTTAAAAGAAGTTAAAAGATAGACTTTTCTTAGTTTTTTTCTTTTTTTTTTTAACCTTTATTAATTATATATAATTTCCTTACCTTTTATATCTTCTTTACCCTTTTTCTTTTATAGCCCTTTTTCTTTACTAGTCTTATTATACTTTTATTTTTTTTATTAACTATTTATAAAAAAACTATTTTTATATTTTTTATATTATATATATAATAATATTAAACTAATTATAACTTATAACTATTAATAATTATAAAAAATAAATAAATATATATATTTCTTTTTTATTATTATAATATATATCTTCTTTTTCTTAATACTAAACTAGCTTTTAATTAAATTAGTTTAAAAATATTATTATTTTTACTTTTATTAATATTAATAATTCTAGTTTTAGTTATACTTTATATTTAGTTTAGCCTTTTTTTATTATTTATAAGTTTATTACTTATAATATTCTTTATATTAACTATTTTAGTAATAATAATATAATAAATAGTAAATTAGTTTATCTTTATATTAAAAGTATATATTTAACCTACTATTAACCTAGCTTTATTAACTTTTACTAAATATTATTAATATAGTCTATATTAATTATAAAAAAAGTAAAATTATTTATCTTAATATAAGTCTAATCTACTTTTATATTACCTCTAATACTAACTAAAGTAGATATTACCTAATATTACTAAAGCTACTAAAGTAATTTAAGATTAGTTAGTTATTTATAATAATAATAACTTAATCTTAAGTTAAAGTAACTTTATTTATAAAAAGTTATATAATATAATTATTAAAGTCTATATTACTTATAATAGTAAGTTTAGTTTTTATATTTTTTAAGTTATAAATAATATAGTTATAGTTTATATCTTAATTATTATTATAATAATAATATTTAAAGATATTATTATCTTCTTTTATAAGCTAGTTGTAAAGATATAACTTTATTATAAGATATTAAAAGACTAGCTTCTACTTACCTTTACCCTAGCTTTACCTACTAGTAATAATAATAATAATAGTATTTAAGTAATATCTAGTACTAAGCTAGTTTTATACTAGTTTCTTTTTTTAGTTATAATACTTTTAAGTTAGTTTTTACTAAATAAAAGTCTATATTACTATATCTAGCTTATATTTCCTTTATATAGCCTTTATTTTAACTTTAACTTATTTATAACTTAAGTCTTTAAATATAATAGTCTTTTTATATTAAATACTTATTTTATTAATTTTATTATTTATATTAAGTAATTTAATATTAAAGTAATATCTTTTTAACTTTAAAAAGGTCTTTCTTTAAAGTTAATATAATATTAATTATAATTTTAAATTATATAATAAATATCTTTTAATTTAGTTTTATAATTATATTTAAGTAAGTTATAATTAAAAATCTTATAATTATAAAAAGAATATTTAACTTAATTTTTTAATATAAAGTTATAATATTAAAGAGTTAATATAATATAATAGGTTTTTAACTAAAAGTAACTTACTTTTATATTAGAGTTATAATAAATAATAAATATAAAAATTATAAAATAATAAATACTTCATTATTATTTTTTCCTAATATATATTTTATATTTTTATTATTTACTTATTTAGTTTATATTAGTTCTTTATTAAGGCTTTATTAAAACTATATAGTAAGCTATTTATAAAGTATATAAAAGGTAATTCCTAATATATTTTATAATACTTAACTATTAAAATCAAGATAACTAACAAGATTTAAATAAAGATATAATAAAATTAAGCTATTATATTATCTAATTTTTTATAAAGAATTACTTTTACCTTTTAAGTTATTAAATATAAATAAATTAATAATATTTTAAAC